CCAGAGAAGCTGTGGCTGCCTCCTCCCTGGCAGGGTTCAAGGCCAGGCTGGATGGAGCTCTGAGCACCCTGGTCTGGTGGAAGATGTCCCTGCTCATGGCAGGGGGGTTGAACCAGATGACCTTTAAGGTCCCTTCCAACCCAAACCATTCTCTGATTCTAAGTTTAAAAAATACTCTCCAGATCATAAGTCACTCCCCTGTTTTGTTGAAAAAGAAATCTTGACCTCAGATTCTTCATCGTCACCTTCACTGGTATTGTTGGGCATCTGCAATGGCCTGTCTTGAGGCCTGGGTAGCTGGAGCTCTGGCACCAGCCCCAGCAGCCATCCCGGCCTGATGTCCCCGTTCCCCTCTGCGTGCCCCTCTCCTGCCCCAGCCCCTCGGTGGGAATTGTCTCTGCGCTGGGGATGGCTTGTTGGAGATGAAGCTGCCGTAGCTCTTGCTCCTGTGCGGCTGAAGGAGGCCAGCACCCGTGCCCTGGTCCAGGGGTGATCTCTAGGCTCGGGAGGGTGCTGCAGCTGCAGCCTTTGCCCTCACAGCCGCCTGTTGCCTTACAGGGCGCAAAATGCCTCTGTGGAAGCCAGGATGCGGGCTCACGGGGGGTCTCCAGCCAGAAACATTGCTTCTGCCTTGACATTTTTCTCTGTTTATTCCAAGGTTTTTAGCTTTGTTCAGACTCTGACGGGTTGTGAGGACCAAGCCAAGCTCTTCAAGGATGAGGTGAGAAGGGCTGGAGGGCGAGTGAGGGGGCCAAGGACGGCCGTTTGCCAGCGGGGCAGTGGCCTTCCCGCACCGATTGCAGCTGAATGCTGAGAGCGCGTCCAGCTCCTGGCAGCGAGCGCGCCCCGCGGCCCTGGGCGCAGCAGCCTGGGCAGATGCGGGGGCAGGAGGGGAGATTCCGACCCGCAAGGAGCTGTGCTGCCCTGGGCCCTGGCAGGGGAGAGGGAGGGCCCCTCCGCGCAGGCTGGGGTGGGGGAGAGGGAGGAGGACGGGGCCGCAGCCTTAGCAGCACCGTCACCTCCTGAGGGAAGCTGCTTACTGCTCACCCGTTCGTCCTTCCCCGCCTGCCATCGTTCCCCAGCACAGCAGTTTGGTGGCATTGCTGTCCCTCGGCCGGGTTCGTCGTTTTTGGACCCCTCTGTGGACAGAGGCGCAGAGCGGCTGCTTCCTGTGTGCTGTGCGCGTCGTGCTCCGGCGCAGGAGCCCGGGCTGGCCGCGGTGTGAGCTCCCGGGGTGGCTTTCCCCCACTCTGCCCTGCTCCTGGGCACTCGAGCTCCCAGCTCTGGCTTCTCTGGGGCGGCGTGGGAGTGCTGGGGTGGCCCCTGCCCTGCTCCCTGCCATCACCTATGGCGCCTGGCCGAGGGCGAGTGCCACTGCGCGCGTCCCCGGGCCGTGCCCGTGCTGGCCGTCCCTAGGAAGTGGTGGCCTGGGTTTTCGGTGAGTGCCTTTGTCCCCGCTCTCCTCTCCTCTCCAGATGATCGACGGTGAGGCGTTCCTCTTGCTGACGCAGGCTGACATCGTCAAAATTATGAGCGTCAAGCTCGGCCCGGCACTTAAGATCTACAATGCCATCCTCATGTTCAAGAACGCTGATGACACCTTGAAGTGACTTTTCCTGGCCCAGTCGGGACCCTCCCTCAGCACCGGTGCTGCCAAACTGTCTGGTCAGGACAGAGATTCCCCCCGACCGACCGCAGCTTGTCATGTCCCGCTCATGTCCTCTCGGATGCTGCATCTCCACTCCCCCACCCGTCCATCTCCCATCCTCTGCCCTCCATGCCACACTGCCCTTCTCCTCCAGCGCTGGCCCCGAGCCTCGGGGG